GTTAATTCGATTAACCATGGAACGTTTTCGCACTAAGTTTACTCTAATTGATAACTCGCATCTCCAGAGAAGCCGTACGGTGCGTACAGAAGAAGCTACTGCTACTGTAGAGCGTAGCATTCAGGAAGACCCGAATGAGTCCATCCGCCATCGAGCACAGGAATTGGATCTGTGTCCATCCACTTTATGGAAGATTTTGCGGAAGGATCTTTTTTTGCGTACTTACAAAATCCAACTCGTGAAAGAATTGAAGCCAAACGATCATCTAGCAAGGCGTAGATTCGTTGAATGGGCCCAAAACGAAATTGCCGTTGTTCCCGATTTTCATAAGCGAATTTTGTTTAGCGATGAAGCGCACCTCTGGTTGAATGGCTACGTCAACAAACAAAACTGCCGCATTTGGAGTGAAGCTAATCCTCAAGTCTATGTCGAAACACCGTTACAACTGACTGTTTGGTGCGCTTTATGGGCTGGAGGAATCATTTCGAAAACGATGATGGCCAGAACGTTACAGCCAATAGTGATCGGTATAGAGCCATGATTACTAACTTTTTCATTCCTGAATTGAAAAATCATGATGTCCAGCACCTGTGGTTCCAACAAGATGGCGCAAAATGTCACACAGCTCGTGCTACAATCAATTTATTGAAAGACACGTTAGGTGACCACCTAATTTCAAGTTTTGGACCTGTGAATTGGCCTCCAAGATCTTGTGATTTAACACCACTAAACTATTTTCTTGGGGCTATGTAAAGTCATTGGTCATGTCATGTCATTGCCGATATACGGCCACAAATGTGGGAAAAACTCATCGAAAATTGGACGTTCAGATTGGACTACATCCGAGCCAGCCGTGGCAGTCATATGCCAGAAATCATATTTAAAATGAAACGCCACAAGATTGTCTTTCGAATAAAAAAAAATCATGTCAATCGAATAGTCAATCGTTGTTCTATTGCAATTTAAAGTTCTATACCTCTAAAAAAAACACCCTATACTTCTGGAGAGAGACGGAAAGAGCCGGATCTTCCCAAAATCGTTTTAATTTTTTCCTGACTCATTTGAGACGGGATTTCAAAATATATTGCATGTTTTCATTGTTACTTATTCTCCGTAGTCAAATTTTCAATTAGACATTTTTTTCGACGTCCATCACCAACTTTGTTTTTTCATATGGACGCTATCTTGGAATGTTATACATTTAAATAGACTTTCCAGTCCTAAATCCAGTGATGTATTACCTTAGTTGATCATGAATTGGTAATAGCGATAGTACGCATAAATAAACAGAAGTAAATCATAGCAGATGTTCAAAAAGTTGTCCGTTATTTTGTGAGCTTACCCTGACTCTTCTCTGTGCATTGTCTTCTACTGTCTTCCACACTCTGTTTCTATTTTAAATTTGAGGTCTGGCCCAACTAACAATTATCACTCCTATTAGAGTTGCAAGTACAGTACATAAATAGCATTGTATACTGTAAGAACATTGGCAAAACCCTCTTAGAACAGCTATACAAGCGGAATGGGCACACCTAATAGGACACTTCAGTCATTTACGAGGTTAAATAAGGGCTGCAGGTAACAGTTAAACAAAAGTGTAAGCCCCTTGCAGCCGCTATAGGACATTTACGTCAGTGCAAGATTCAGTTTTTGTCAACTATACAACTATTCTGTTACGTGATTCTACTTTATTGCAACCAAACTATTTCTTATGTATTGTATACACGAAGTGAAGAATATATAACTAACACATTACAGTCATCTTGTTTACTTACATATCGACCATTGTGAATTTCATACACAGATATATGATAAACTTCTACACTGTGATATAGGGCTATTGACTTACTTGCGCAGCAAATTTTATTGTGATTATCGTGCAAATTAGTTACCCAATTTCTACGAGCGTCGTATTGGATTCATATTTTGACAATGATCAAAAGTATGTCTAGATTTTTAAGATGGAAAACTGAACTTATCTGCGTTAAAACTTCCATCAATCCTATATTTAGACACAATTACACTATTACTATTACTGTTTATCACTTTATATTTGTAATTTCGAACTGAAACATAATTATTTAATATTAAATAGAGGGATAAATGTTTGCCCAATATGGCGGGTGGTTGTGTACAATCATGGCATCGTCCATGTTGTCTTTAGGTTATTGGAATATTTTGGTCTTGCCTGCAGGTGTTATACAACAATTTGACAAATGTTTGAAATGAAATACCGACAGAGTCGAATGGTTTACCCAGAATTTATACCAGATCTATATCTTCTGTTTGAACAGTTGATAAAACCTTTTGAACCAATATGCATGCGTTGTTTGTCTTAAAATATTGATTATGGCATTTTAGCATTTTATAAAAGTATGACAGCAGAAAGTTAGGTTATGGTGAAGTTGTTTACCAACATATTTAGCATATGTGCAGCCTTTAACAGTTACTAAACAACAGTTGTATAAGTGCTTCCGTTGGGAGCAATTTGTTGGCTAAAGTAGTAAATTGCTCAGCAAAGCAGCAAGACTCGGGTTTGTTTTATAAACGTTACCATGGATGCCACAACACAACCATTTTGACTAACGTGCAAATATGCCGTATAAAATAGTTGTATAAACGTTTATGCAACAGTTAAAAATTTGCCCTATAAGGTGTTGTATAACTATGCTATAAGAATATTTTAAACACTTCATTTTAGAGAAAATATGTTGCAGAAAGCAAATTTGCATTCCGCACAACATTAAGCCAGCATTTTTGTGTTCAGGCAACAACAATAGAGAGCTTTTATGGCTGAACGGTTCTTTTACCAAAAGCTTAAACCACTACTTTGCTAGTTGGGGGTCTGGTATACAAAACAAATGAGATCTGACAATTTGAAGGCCTACCTAGGAATTTCTGTTTTTTTCTAGAATAACTAAGGATTGGCAATGTCAATATATGACATATCATAAATTTTTTGAATCAGTACCAAAAACTCCATCCATCTGCGCAAAATTCCAATATGGCGTCCATACGGAAAAATAAAGTTGATGCTGGAGAACAAGAGACGAAACGTAAAGTTCCAATTATGCCATATTGTAGAGAAGAAAAAGTGGGAATGAACGTTAACATGCAATTTATTTATTTTTCTGTTTCTCTTCCGAAGTACTTTGACTACTGGAACCTTCCAAATGGCATTTTGTTAGTTACCTAAATAGGCAACTTTGCCTCTATTTAAGCGACTTCGTATGTCTTACGGTTACCGAGATCGCAATGGTGAGGGTCGAATTTGAAACAATCGGTATAGGGTAAAACCGGGATAGACGCCGCAGCGGGATAGAGGCTTCACATTCTAAAAACCTAACTTCCCGAACGCGAGACTAAAAATTAATTGTACGGGTAGGGGCCGCACTTACCCCGCACCTCAGTTACTTACGGACAATCGTGCTGAGGGGACGCGTTTCGCTCGTGTGTGTCATTACATCCGCGGCGAAATTTACGAACACGTCAAAGTTTTGAAGGTTAGTATTTTGTTTTGTATAACTTTATAGTTTGTAATTAATTCCGTTATATTCCTTATAACGTTAATTCACTAGTTCATTCAGTGTGCATGTAGGTGTAAATAGATACTATTTTGTTTATAATTTCTTCAATAAATACTTGGGCATCTATCCATATCACAGAGGATAGTTGCCCTAATTTTTTGAGGTATAGGTGCCCTTAGTGGCATCTGTCCCACTTTAAACCTTATATGGCATAAGCACATACATATTATTATATTTAAATATTTTAGTTTATGTGATATTTTCTATATTTATGTATATTTATATTTGGACATTCTACTGATTTTATCAGAACCATGACACGAAAATATACTAAGTGACATATAAATCCGAACACCCAGTTTATATGGTTTTATTTTAACAAAATTTTGTATAAGTACTTAATGAAGCATAGTAAGTAAATGATAAAAATTTCAAAATGATTGCACTGCTTTAAAGCCCTTTGACCTTTAATAATGTGTGGATGCACCCTGATGTGCTACGCATTCTCCAACGCGCCTAGGCATGCTTCTGATCAGGTGGTCAATGTCCTCCTGTGGTATCTCATTCCAGGCAACCACCAACACCTCTCGAAGTGCTTCTAGAGTCTGAGGAGGACGTTGCAAATTGAGCAATCTCCTACCCATCATATCCCACACGTGCTCAATTGGGGATAAGTCGGGAGAAAAAACTGTGGATTCCTCCTTTCATCACGTCGCCTTCTAACCCTGGCACGACTATCGTGCATGCCTAAACAAAATCGAGACTCCTCACTAAAGACAATACTGTTCCATTCCTGATCCCAGAGTGACCGTTGTCTGCACGACTCAAGGCGATTACGTCGGTGTTCTCGAGTTAAAGGGAGGACCCAGTGTGGCCGGTATGAAAACAAGCCAAAACTTCTCATTCGTCGGTAAACACTTCGCATGCCAATAGGTCTTCCGTGTTCTGCAAACCATTCATTTGCAATGGACCTGGTAGTGAAGAAACGGTCCCTTAAGGCCAATAATCTTAGGCGGCGATCTTCACGGTCTGTTGTTCTCCGGCGGCGTCCAGTGCCCCTTGCTTTTTGCGTACGGCCTTCTCGAAGCCATGCCTGACAACACCTAACCACATTGTCTACACTTCTTTGCACTCTAACTGCAATTGCCCGAAAAGAAAGTCCAGCTTCCCGAAGTCCCACTATACGGCCCCTATCAAACTCACTAAGTTGACGAAATCGTACAGGTCTCCGTACTCTAGGCATCGTAACCGATCGTAAAGGATTTCAAGAACTAAAATCCGCCAACGTTGATTCTTTACTGCGGCTGAAATATTCATTTTTAGAGCGTAAGTGAATTAAAAAAAAGCAGTATAAAAACCGGAATGTCTAACTGATAAGGCTGAAAATTTTTTCACTTGTTATTTACAGTAAGATAAATACATTCACCAACTCTTATTAAAATAAAACCATTTAAACTGGGTGTTCGGATTTATATGTCACTTAGTATATACGAGAAAGGAAGGAGTGCAGGTTCGAGTATGTTTTTGGACTACAGAAAGCCAACAGGCAGCTTTTGATGAAATTGACAAAAAAACTATGGGGATGAACGAAATATCCCGTCAATTTGGTATTCCATCAAGGACATTGAGAAGACGATATGCTGTCAAAAATAAAACAAAATTGACGATGGGTATGTATTAAAAATCATGTAGGTAGTACAAGATATCATAAACTTTTATTTTACTGATTGCTATCACTAGTTTCTAATAAATTTATTAACGTTAGTTATTTGTTTTAGGAAAGCATCCTGTATTAGATTTTGACAACGAGAAGAGGCTAGTAAAACACATTCTTAAACTTGGTGAGCAGGATTTCCTCCAAATAGGCAAGCCATATGCATGTTAGCTTATCAATTTGCTGAAAAACTAAATCAAAAACATAATTTCGACCACGATAATGAAATGGCTGGAGGCGCATTGTTCAAAAGTTTTATTGAACGAAATCCGGAACTATCTATCAGAAAAGCTGAAGGTTTATACTGATACTTAATATAGGTACGAATAGTTTATAAGAACAATTTAGAATTTACGTTTTTTGTTGGTTAAATGCTTGTAAAGTTGATTTTACCAAAAAAATTATTATGAATGTTGTAACTTGAGAATGTATATGTTAATTAAACAAGCCTTCTAAAATATTTAATAAGGGTTCCTACTTTGTGTGATATTAATATTATCTTCTAATTATAACAATAAAAATATTAAATAAAAACAAAATGCTTTCATTATTATGACCCATGTTTCTTGGAGACAGTATGATGCTGTTTTAGGAGTAGAACTTCTTAACAGTTGGATTGAGTATTTTGTTTACAGGATATGAAGGGCATCTATTATGCACTATAGGCATCTATCCTTTTTAACTCTTTCATGGCGGGGCAACTATCCATATAAATAGGCATCTATCCTCAAAAAGGAAGTTAATAGTCTTAAAATTGTAGTGCACCAGGTAATGAGAAAAGCATTAATTGGTAGAATCAGGGCCCCAAACAGTTTGATAAAAAAAACTATTGTACTTCCGTTTAATGGTCTGGGAGCGAAGGTATTACATTTGGTGGACAGCGTAAGATGTACACACAGCTCCGGTACAGTAATGGTTATTTATGATTTATTAATTGAAAATACATTATCGAGATGCTCTCATACATTCAAATGCTTTTATTATGCGATATTGTTTACATCAGGTATGTATAGCGTCAGCTTATTAAGGAGTATTAAATTTTTAATCAGCTCTTGTTTGCATGTTGATGATAGGCTCACATTGGAATATATCATTTATAATCATAGAAGGTTACACTGATGTAGGTATCTTGAGATCACAGTTGGACTACCCATTTTGATATAATGACTTTTTTTTAATGCACACTGAGTATTAAGCACTTCATCTACCATCAACGAATCAACATAGTTAATAATTATTTGTTCCTTGTTTCACAATATTTGTTATAGTATGACGAATTTAAGTCCTTGATATGATCAAATAGACTAATATAAGAAGAATAATATTTGTAGATGGAGGTGCTATCTAGGTCCAGGAACATAAATCAGTTTGTAGTTTATGTTCAATATATATCACGATTTCACTAAAATTGCCAAAACTAGAGACTTAGTTGTAAGTTTTGTAGCAACGCCTTCATACTGCCCAAGCTTCATGAGGCTAGCTACTTGATTCATTTAATTTTGACAATATGGGAAAACCTCAATCCATAAGCTTTCGAGTCTAATAATTTGAAAACCAAGCAACGGATCTTTTTCATATTATGCGACAACGTTTAGATGCCTTTCAAGTTTCATAATATCAGCGTTTCAAACTTGACATTTGTACCATCATTTACAAACTACAAACTTACAAACTATTTGTCAAACTGATTTCCGCTACTCCTCAAAAAAATGTTGAAACTGATTCTGAGTTTCCTTTCTTTCACACCTATTAATCCAATCTACAATTTCGTTTTTATTTAAACAATAATTATAGCCAAAGCAAATGGATTTATGTATAAAGGGTACCTAATCAGTTCAACCTTCAAGTCTGCAAACTTTCACATTTCCTAATAATATTCACGAAATATTTACAATATAAGTAATATTGAATTTTTGCAATTCATAGCCGAATATCTTCGATTGCAACTCCATAAGCAAGAATTATTCCGTACACTTTTCTTCGGTTTCGAATGAAATTGACAGCACGGTAAACTTAACAAACTCGTCAATCAGCGTGAATACTAATTTCACACTATTATATCAGACCTCATGAATCACCAGCAAATCCTTATTAAAAATGCAAATGAAAACGTTATAGACTTGTTACATTAGTTCCAGTGCTGCTGAAACAGTTTCCGCAACAATACGATTCATTGAATCATGCATTTCTGACCGATAAATGAACACACATATTATGTAGGTTTAGCTGTCACTAATGTTTCGGCTACCTTGATGGCATTTTTAAGGTACAAATCAAAATTAAATATTTAAGGGTGTGAATCTACATGGAAAATTAATCTTAGTTATGGTCCAAAAATGTTTCCTTACAAAAACTCGGGGTGCTGAAGCTTTAGGAAAAAAATGGAAATTAATTAATACTTTCAGCAAAAGCCATTGACGTTCTACTTTTTTCTTAAAAAATATCGAAGTTAATAGCCCTACCCACGCCACTGTTAAAGCTAAAAATTATTTTTGCATTGAAAAATATGCAGCTTTTTCAACCTTCACTACGTGCTAAATATCAGAGAAATATCTGAAGCGGTTCTGAAAATATTAATTAATTTCCATTTTTTTCCTAATACTTCAATACCACGAGCTTTTGTAAGGAAGCATTTTTGGACCGTAGATTATCAAACAAACTAACATTAATTTTTGATGTAGATTCACACCCTTAAATATTTGCATATCCTTAAGGAACACCCTGTATTTAATATTCATGTCTCCTCGAGATGACATACCATTTATTTCTGCCGATACAGTATGAGCGATGAGAAGCTTAAGGAAACTTTATTGATCCGATTTTTGAACTGACTTATGTTAGTAGAACTGGGAGCAGCTTCCTAGGGTAAGCTGTTCTACCATCCAAAGGAGCGTTCGTATCGGCCAGTTTTTTCCATTTCCTGCATTTAGGGAGCTGTCGTCAGGAACGCTGTGGATCGTACAGGAAAGAAGGTCATTGTCATTGTGGGATGAAGAGGAGAATCACGACGGATATCTCGGCCAGAAAGGACGTAAGCTATCCATCTCCAATGCTCCAACGGTTGACAGCTGACGGAACGCTTTCATGATCTCACGAGCAAACGACATAAGCCTCACGAAAAGACTGGATGAGTTTACTCCACAGTTGAGTGACGCAAGCCAATATATCTGGAAGAGCACCCGTCTTACGGTCTTATGCCTGAAAGTCTCTTTCCACATAGTGCAGGGAACCTTTTGCATCGACGGAACTCCCATCTTGGCACCCTTTGAGAAGTTCCTTCCAATTTCCGTGGTCTGCATCTAGAAAAACCGACTGCCATTGCGCTGCGACATTATCCTGTTACGTCGTGCTGATCTTTGGATTTGCGAAATTCGGCGAATAATTCTACATCTGCATTGTCCAAGGATTCGAAATGCGAGAAATAGTAGCTCGACATTTCAAGGGCACAATGTTGTTCGCCTTGTGAGAAAATAATTTTATATTAAAAGAGCCGCTTCGCGCCTCGACACGTCAAGTGAACGGGCTCCTGGATTGTCGACGTATTGGTCTCCTGTTTTATTACTTTAAATCAGCGTTAGCCGAAATAAAGGCACTGAAGTGAAACTTCTTTCATATTTTATGACTTGAAGCTTTGGAAAAAGGTACAAAACACTTTTCACTGCGATCACTTTGACTGAACTATCTGATTTGGCATCTGCGGCTGCAACCGATAAAATCTTTGGTTCTTTAAGTCTGCGTCTGCCGATTTCACTGGAACAATTTAAAGGCTATTGTTATTTTTGTAACAGGCACCTTAGCTGTTTAACAATAAAGCTTGATCACGATACTGCTAGCACGGTTGACTGATACATTGTCGCTGAGAACCCTTTAGTTGTACTATGGCGGAGGTAGTACCATCTCGAGAATGGACTTGAACAAAAGGGACATAATTATTCAAATAAGGTTTTAGAGAACTCTCGATGAAGAATAACCTCTCGTACTGCGTATAAACTGTTAAAATATCTGATACATACAGTGAAAAAATGATTATCTAATGTAGTTTTCCTCAGGGAACGGTGTTGGTCCTCTTCTATTTGACCAATACCGTAACGACTCATTGAAAGTTAATGGTATCAGAAAAATTATATAACTTGCAGATGGCACCCTTATTATGTATAAAGCAGAGGATTTCGAAACCAATTGCTGAAAATGATTAAATAAAAACTATCAGATGGTGCACAACAGACCTTTAATAACAAAAAAAAAACAACATTTTTGTAGCATCTAATTCTTATCCAAAGTCATTGCATAGTTTTGAGGAGATTTTTGTTGAATATCATGACCAAAAAACCAAAGGCTCTCACTTGAATTGAGAAAATCATATTTTATATAGGAAAAAATAGCAATGTGATCTATAAACTCAAAATACCTTCGGATCTGTCTTGAAACTGAATTTTCCCATAGGCTTTATTCATCAAACGATTTGATAGTAGACAGCTTTACTTCTTACATACGAGCCCCTTCCCACTTCAGTTGGCCCAACTAGTTTTTTTCTTATCAAACGCAAATAATTAAAATGTTGAAGGGTGTTATAGGTTTAAAATATTAACAAAGAATATTTTGATAATATATAGTAGAAAACATCAACCTTATCACTCCCTAATCAAATTTGCAGCATAAGAATAACACATGTTGCAATTACAGCATATCAACCTATTTTCATTTCAATGTAAAATTAGTCTGTAACGCATAGGTAGCTGTGAAAAATAAAAGCCATGACAATTGTTTTTATTAATCACAGCTGTCGGAATACGTTTAAAATAGTTTTGGGTAGTTAAGGTTTTCAAAATGGGTAGAGGAAAAGTTGTTAGTGAGAAAATTCGATTACTGATGATTAATTTTTTTAATTCTGAGAAATCAAACTCTCTCAACTTTGTTAGACTTATCGCGGTACAGTGTGAGAAATATTGTTAGAAGATATAACCTAACCGGTTCAGTTATTATTAAGCCACGATATGTGAAAAAAAGTAATATCACAAATTCCGAGCGAAGAGCATTAAGAAGAATAATCGTGAAAAACAGGCGTGCCAATTATTTACAATTAAGTGCTCTGTGAAGTGACGCTGTTGGAAGAAGAATTTCGAGGTCCACAACTCATAGAGAGGCCCACAAACTGGGATTTAGCACTTGCGAGGTAACTTTTCTTATAAGAAAAAGTGAAGTAAAAACCCTAAAGTTGCACAACTTGTTTATAGGCCAAAGAAAAGCCACTATTAACTCCACTGCAAAAAAAAAAATCGGCTTAGATGGGCTAAAGAACATAGACAATGGACACCTCAACAATGGTGTGCAATACAATCGAGTGATGAGGCCCGATTCAAAGTTTGTGTAGGTGACAGTCGCAGTAGAGTTATTCGCAAAAAAATGAAGCATTCCATGTTGACTGTCTGAAGAGAAAAGTGAAATTTCCAGCACCCATTATGGTCTGGGGCAGTATGTCATCAAG